TCCTCCCCGATACCCCTCCCCCTTCCCCCCGGGCCTGGGCCCCGGCCCCCCTCCCCTTCTGGGACCGGCACCCCTCCCACTGCGGGCAAATACGCTCTGGAGCTCCTGGTCCCTCACCTCGATACATGATCTGTATGGTTCTTCTTTCCCCCTAGTGCTGCATTCATTCTCCCCTTCCGGAGCGAGAGATCCTTTGGGTTCCTCCACCTCCTTGGTTCTTGTTCCCCGGGTTGTGCTCAGCTAGCTCAGGAGAAGTTCATGTAGCTTTGGAAAGCTTTCAAGCCACGCTATCCCTTTTTGAATAATGCATCCAGTTGAAAGAGCTATGATCTGTATGGTTCTTCTTTCCCCCTAGTGCTGCATTCATTCTCCCCTTCCGGAGCGAGAGATCCTTTGGGTTCCTCCACCTCCTTGGTTCTTGTTCCCCGGGTTGTGCTCAGCTAGCTCAGGAGAAGTTCATGTAGCTTTGGAAAGCTTTCAAGCCACGCTATCCCTTTTTGAATAATGCATCCAGTTGAAAGAGCTGATCCTGTGTAGTGTTTCTACCCCTCTGGCCTTCTCCCTGGAAAAACTGGTGCTGATCCAAGGGATGCTCCTGTTTCCTTTCACTATCCTCCACAGAGATGCCTTTCCTATCAGAGAATTTTGCTCCCTTTCAGCTTCAGCTTCAACACACATCTCTGAGTGTCTAGGTATACTTGGTCCCTGCCTCACTGCAGGAGACGCACTAGATAACCTCCCAAGGTCTGCTCCAGCCCTACATTTCTATGATTCTGCACTTTATCTTGTCCTGATGCCTTATAGCCCACCTTGGTTTAGCAGGTATATCCCATTTGCTTCCCCGATGCCTGGCTGTGGGATCTTATCATAGCAGTGTTCAGTGTTTGCTAGATGGAGATAAACCTTCTGGTCCTTGCAGAGAGTGAGCAATTCTCTGGGTACTTAGATACTGTCTTGAGCTGGGGAATGCTGTGCAGCAGCCAGCTGTGTGCTCTGTATGAGTCCTCACTGCTTGCATATGGTGGTTTTGCATAAGTGGTAGCACTAGAGTGCATGCTGCCCAGGCAGGATTGCAAGTGTGTTATGAAAGTTTCTATGTCTCAATTAGCCAAACAGCTAATGCCAAGTGTAGTCAGCTGTCTGGTAAGCAGCACAGAGTGAGGCTGCTTTCAGTTTTCTAGAGAGACTTCTAGCCATCATGCTGTGCTGTGTGGTCTTGGTACCACAGCAAGGCAATGGATGTCAGAGGGAGGATACACTACAAGTGAACAAAACGTTGGATCAGGAATTATACTGAAAGAAACAAGCTTTTTGGGGTCAAACCAGGAGATTTCAAGTTACTTAATTGAAGCTTCTAAAATTATTTAAAGGAGTTGACAAAGTCACTAGGCCTTTCACACTAGCAAAGGGCTCAACTCAAGGGCACCTCCTAAAAGTGAGATGAGTAAGTAGATGGCTGGACAGATCTGTCATTCAAAGGGTAAGAAACAGATGGCATACCCAGCTGGGGAAGCAAAATGAAGCCAAGAATATGAATAATGTTGAAACAGTTCCGATGCAAGAATAGCATCGAGGGGCTGCAGGGTTAGCAGTGGCCGCCACTTATCTGCTGAGTGGGGGGAGTTGGAAGAGAGAAATGGAGAGGGAGGTCAGCTGAGAAGGGTGGCTTCTTTCTCCCCAAGGAAAAAAAGTAGCGAGCTCTGGCAATTAATTCCCTGCTAGGACAAAGGTGGACAGGTGTCTGTTTCCATTTCTGCTTTTAATAAAGGCTCAGAAGGGATGACAGGAAGCCAGCAAGCAGCCTGCTTTTTTGGGAGCCCAGTGGTGAATTAGTTCTGCAGAGTCCAGCAAGCTGCCGGTGCTTCTGGATCTATTCTTCCTCCTGTGCTGATATCGAAAGTTGGTTAATCCACAGATGTGCTCATCTTCCCTCTCTAGAATGCCTCAGACATGCCAGAGACTATTACCAGTCGGGACGCTGCTCGCTTTCCCATTGTTGCCAGTTGTACCCTCTTCGGACTCTACCTCTTCTTTAAAGTAAGCCAACCACTTGGATCCTATTTTGCTAAACTCTCTTCTGTGCTAGTTGATTGTTTTACCCTCTGTACCTTTCTGCATTCGTATTTAAATCACATCAAGACTGAGCGAGCTGCACTGCAGGCTGTGATCAAAGAAGAGTTTTGACAGGCTCTCTTTGGCTTACTGAGTTAGGCTCTCTAGTATTTGGAGGCACATTGTTGAAGCTGCACAGGTTTTAGAGAACCTTGGAACAGTGCTAGCGAGTGGGAGACATGAAGGCTGGAGTTAGCCTGTATTCTGAACGATCTAACTTTTATGGCTTGTCCAAGTCGGTGTAAAAGTAATTGCTTATTAAAAAAAAAAAAAAAAAAGTCGAGAGAGTCAGTGGAAGTTTTGAGTTAGTTCTTAGACATGGGGCCTCCCTATGTCCCTATGACATGGGGCCTCCCTATGGCGCTGGCTCTGAAGTCTGAGATGTGCTAACCGATCACTGTGACCTGACTGAAAGCAGAGAATGAAGGGATATGAAAGTATAACCTGGGCTTATCTGTTACTGTTAATGGTTACACACAGGCTCCTGCCTCGCTCCTGGGGAGTCGACTGCCACCCCGTTGCTGCTGGTTCTGTATCAGAGCCAGCAGTGTGGGGGTGGCAGTCAGCTCCCAGGGAGCGGGGCACATGGGGAGCAGGCTTAAAAGCCAGCTGGCTGCTGCCCTGTGCTGGAGGTGAGTATAATTGCTGAGCTGCCTCTCCCCACCCCAGCTGCACTGCTGCCTCTGTATCAGAGACAGCAGTGGGGGTGGGGAGCAGGCGGCATCCCATGCACCAGCCTCTATCCATGATAGGCTGGGGCTCACCGTGGACAGAGGCTGCTCTGTGGGATGCCCGCCCCCTCCCCTCAGACAGGGGTGGCTGACACCCCACACTGCTCCCTCTGTATCAGAGGCAGCAACGTGGGGGTCTGTGCAGGGAGCTGATTTTTAAAAGGGCAGAGGGCTCCCCAGGATTGGAGCCGGGAGCACACTGGCTGCTGGACCCACCCCTGGAGAGTGTTTTAGTAAATGATCATTTTTTTCCAGCTACACAAATACTAAAATAACCCTTGTCTAACATCCCTAGGAAAAGGTGATGTTACTTTTACTCAGACAATCTCCCATATGTTTCATGAGTGAAGCCTCAGAGAAATATTACACCCACATCTCAGGTTACATGAAAATGCTGAAACTATAGCAAGAGGTCATGGCAGTAAGGGCTTTAGTGCATGAGAATAATGGCGCTATGTAACTAAATTGACTTGGCCTCGTCTACATGAGACTATTTGTACTAAAGCTGACTTTAAATGATATGGTTATGCCCATACCCTATGTCGTTAAACTTAAGGGGTGTGTCTAGGCTGGCATGATTTTGCGCAAAATCTTGCCGCCTGTCTACACTGGCCGCGAGTATTTGCACAAGAACACTGATTTGTAATGTACAAAATCAGTGGTTCTTGCACAAATACTCCGATGCTCCCGCTCAGGGATAAGCCCTCTTGCACAAGTATTCTTGCACAAGAGGGCCAGTGTAGACAGCCACATTAATTTCTTGCGCAAGAAAGCCCGATGGCTAAAATGGCCATCGGAGCTTTCTTGTGCAAGAGAGCGTCTACGCTGGCACGGATGCTTTTTGCGAAAAAGCAAATCTTTTGCGCAAAGGCACATGCCAGTATAGACGCTCTCTTGCGCAAATACTTTTAACGGAAAAACTTTTCCGTTAAAAGTATTTGCGCAAAATCATGCCAGTCTAGACACAGCCAAGGTAGAAGATTACCAATGTAAACTGAAGCTTAAACTGGTTTAAGTGCATCTACATAAGGGGGTTGTACAGGCCTAATTTACAATTTAAAATCAGCTTAAAGTGGTACAGCCTTTTTATTGATGAGGCCTTAATAATTAATTTCAACTGCTATTCTAATCCTTCCTCCATTACAAGTTTCTCATACTTCTCTGGGTTGTAATATTCCGGTTTTGGTCTTTAGCCCAAGGGAAAATTATTTTTAGAATGCTTGAAGAAAATTGGTTCAGACGTATCAGAGTTCTACGAGCACTGGGGCAGGGGGAATACTTCTCTAAAGATACCTTCTGGTCAGGGTTCTTGCTCCTGGAATAGGGGCGACCATAAGTCAAGATCCCTGCTATTTATGGTATCCTCTCACCGTGGTCACAAACGCTGCCCATCAAACATTCTGGTCAATTCCTTTTTGACTGCGTCAGAGAAGGCGTTCACCCTAAGAGACCCAGTCTCCTCTGGTGGCATGATGCTAACTGTACTTCTAAAGTACCTTTGCCATCCCTTATCCTTTGGTCATGCCAGGTGTGTCTGTGAAATGTTGCAGGAGGGAAAGTGCTAAACATGCACAATGTGGCCAAATTACTGTTGCTGCACGAGCCTTCGTTTAAAATAGTTACCATGGCGTTACTCCGCTGTAGGCATTTATATTTTAATTTCTCTCTATTTTAGGAGAATACAAGAGAAGACTAAAGGCTGCCTTAAGTGCTGCTTGGCACATTTAGCTCAGTTCTGGGGCAGCAGTTAGGGTGTGAGAGAGAAGGCTGCACGTGTATTTCAAAGGGATAGAGGGTTCTCGTAATATTCTTAGATAAACAAGGGTGGAGCATGAATTGAGTGTGTCTTTGGAACTGAAAGGTAGGGGGAATGCTGCCCATTGTAAGGCTGGACGAGATCTCAACATGTCATCTTGTCCAGCTCCCCATGCTGAGGCAGGTCTATACTATACCCGGAAGGTTGCCTTACGGTACGCGACTCCAGCTACGTAAATAGTGTCGCTGGAGTCAACGTACCTTAAGCTGCGCTTGGCACCATCTCCATAGTGGGGCGTCAATGAGAGAAACGCTCCTATCGACTTCCTTTACTCCTTGCAATAGTGAGGAGTACCAGTGCCGATGGGAACACCCTTAGCATTTGATTTAGCTCAGGGTTTCCCAACCTATGGCTTGGGACCCAAATATGGGTCGCCATTACATTTCAAAAGGTGGCTTTGCCCCCTCTCCTCCCCCTGTTGTTGAATTGCCTTGGGTCACCAAGTCTTCCTGAATTGTCAGAATGGGTCCCCATCTGGAAAAGGTTGGGAACCGCTGATTTAGCAGGTCTTTACTAGACCTGCTAAATCAAAGGCCAGCCGCTGCAATGTCCAGTCTTCCTGCAGTGGAGACATGGCCTGAGGCAGGATTAGGCCAACCTGTGTGTCCTTTTTATATTCAGGATGTTACATGAATTTAACACACACTTTCATGCTCCAATCACATGCTACATTTCTTTCCAAAAGAGAATTATTTGGAAAAATGAGTGCTCCATCCTGCAATATTTGATTTTATTTTTAAACGTTCTTAATGACTTGCTGTTCTTGTGGCAGCATAGACTCTGGAGGTGGTAACATATCCTGCATGGCCCTTATTAGGGGAGTGGGGAAACTGGTCATTTATTTTAATTCCTTCTTGTTTTTACCTCTGCTAGTACGAAATGTAGTGAATATGTGGCGCTCCCTTCATTTTTCTTAGTCTCTTGACACTGCTTTCTGGTCACAGTTGTGACAAGGAACTTGCTAGTCACTCACAGCTACGTAACATGGAAAGGGCATCTTGGCCTTTTCTGCCACCTGCAAGATAGGAATTGCGATTGTAACTGATTCTTGTGTTTGGCCTTTCAGATCTTCTCTCAAGAATATATCAACCTGTTGCTCTCCATGTATTTCTTTGTCTTGGGCATCCTAGCTTTGTCTCACACCATCAGGTAAGCCGTTTCCTTCAGTACTGAATGGTGAGCTCTGTTCTGGTGACAAGAGGAGTGCTCTGTGGTGCATGTGCAAATAGAAAAGTGCAGGCTGGAGCTGTTTATTCCCAGAGTGCGGTTACCTTGCAGCGGTAATGACGTGACCTAGCTGTTACATAGTGCTTTGCAAAGTGCTTTGCGTCCCACTGATGCAAAGGAGGGCAGCTTCATTATCTCTGGCCTGCATGCTGGGAAGCTGAGGCACAGAGAGGTGAAGTGACTTGCCTGAGGTCACGTAGCAGACCGATGGCCAAGCCAGGCATAGAACCCAGCTCTCCTGAGCCCCAGGCTGTGCTGCTGTGAAAGAGTTTGGATTTATACTGCATGGCCAGCGAGGCCCTGTCCCTCTCCCGAGCAGCTGGCAGGACAGGCTGTATGTAAACAGGACAGAGAGGATGTTTTGCTTTGAACAGTGACTGAGAGAGGCTCCTGAAATCCTCAATGGGCTTTTATTGCCAGAGCTTGTGCCTCAGCAAGTCTGGTTGGGAAATGTGGTTTGGAAGGCACAAGCCCCAGTGAAAACGGCCAGCTACATTCTCCGCTGCGCTGGGACAAAACGTGGTAAAGTCAGGGATTGAGCCACCGTTCTGATCCATCCCCCGTTCCTGGGGCTGGCCGAGGCTGAGCAAATTAGAGCATTCTGAACTCACTACACCAGCAAGAGCTGCTCCCTCACGGTGTACTCCAGCCACACCCCTTCTGTGCCATATGCTGGGGGGTGGGGGCAGCTTTGCACCAGCCGAGGATTCCCCCTTTCCAGGGTAAGTGGTTGCCTGCTGAAGGTAGCACTTAGGGTCCCTTTGCACCTTAGAGTAGGGCAGGGTCTGACCTGGACATTGCAAACTCATCTCAGCTTTTCTAGAAAAGTCAAATTAGTCGGGAGTGAGGTGGGGGGGGTCACCTTTCTCTCGATGCACTGACACACGTTAACTACTCCGGGAGAAGCTATTGCTGGTGTCAGGCTTCCAATAGGGGGTCTCCGCTGCAAGCCTCTGCTCCAGGACACTTGTGGGCCACTGCAGCAAGCTTTGCCAGAGACTGCGGGGTGTGCTGGGGCGTGCAGGGCAGCAGGTGGGGTGGTGGACGGGAAGTGAGAACCATCCCTTCTAAGCACTAGCAGAGTTGGGTTGGGCTTCTCCTGCCTCCAGTGGAGTTCTCCTTTTCCTCTGGCTGCTGCTAAGCCTGCCTTGCTAGGGGTGACTGAAAAGCACTGGCATGCAGCCCGTTGCCCCCAGACTGGCATGCTTCCCAAATGATCCCAGCAACGCTCCTCTACAGGCCTCCCCGTGGCTCGGCTTGACTGCTGCCTGGAACCCTGCAGGCTGCCTTCTGCCGGTTAGAGCCTAGCGCTGTAGACTCAGCTCTGACTCGGGACCTTCAGCAAGTCATTTCATGGGTCTGTACTTGAGTGTTCCCCTCCGTCCAGTGAGGTTAGGACAGAAGTGTTGGGATGTTTGTGATGAGATTTGTAGCCATCCTGGAGGTGCTAGGGAGTGCATTGGATTCACAGGGGCTTCTGTAGCACTGACTTTCTCTCCTCTCTCTTTCAGCCCTGTCATGAACAAATTCTTCCCAGCTAACTTCCCCAGCAAACAATACCAGCTTCTCTTCACCCAGGGCTCGGGGGAAACCAAGGAAGGTATGGCCAGCTTGCCTGCTTTCTCCTGGGACTTTTTGGTTCTACCTTTTTGTTTCCTGCTTCATGTTCTCTCTGTCTCAGCTTATCCATTTTCAACCCTTCATTGTATCAAACTGTTTTGGACTCTGTCTCTCGTTCCCCAGTCCATGCTGCTAACGTCTATTTGAATGTACCCGATACTCTCTAACTAGAGCCAGAAATGCTGTGCCTGTGGTGTTAGGACCTCGGCTTCGGCATCTCCCGGTCTGCTGCCTTCTAGTCTGATAAAAATATTAAAAATGATTTGCCTTTATCCAAGGCTTTTAAGTATTCTACTGCCATCTCCTGTGCTCCTGATCTCCACCCCTGGTGGTCTGTGCACAGGTAGAATAAGCTTCTCCTTGCTGAAAATGTGTTTACTGCTAGTTAACTGTGTGACTGTGAAAGGCGAGGAGGCATCCTGAGACCGCTTTGTGTATACAGTCCCAGGGAACACGAGTCCAGTTCCCTTCCCAGCAGCAAGGCGATCTGCTGAGGAATCGTGGCCTGCTTGAAAGGCAAGATCCAGGGTTTCCGAGGCTCCGCTCTGAGTGCACACCTCACGTGCGTGCGGTTATGGCAGAGTTGGTCCTGTCACATGCGGTGCCACTCCTGCACTTGTTTGGGAAGGTGGTGGCGGTGGTGTTGCTCACCGGCTGCTTATGTGCTAGTCTCGGAGGGGAGCCGTGTTCATCTGTATCTGCAAAAACAAGGAGTCCTGTGGTGCCAGAGAGACCAACAGAATGTATCTGCCGAAGTGGATTTTAGCCCCGGAAGCTGATGCCCCAATAAATCTTTTAGTCCTTAAGGTGCTGCAGGACTCCTTGTTGCTTGTGTGCATACTAGTCACTGCTCTGCCTGCGAGTGAGGGGGAGGAGGAGCTGTGTGGGCCAGATGGAATCATGCTGTTCTGTTTGTTACAGAAATAGTGAATTATGAATTTGATTCCAAGGACCTTGTGTGCCTGGCTATGAGCAGCGTCGTTGGCGTCTGGTACCTGCTGAGGAAGGTAGGAAAGGGAACAAAGCAAAGTGGGATATTCAAGCTAGGAAGCGGGAGGGTGGAGGAGGGAACGAACAGCAGCTAAATCAAACTTGGGAGTCTCTTGGTAATTGGCCCACAAGGACTAGTCGGTTAGTGCTGCCATCTGTGCTGAGCCAAATCCATCTTCCTGCTGTGTTTGGCCCGTAGCACTGGATTGCAAACAATCTCTTTGGACTGGCATTCTCTCTCAACGGTGTGGAGCTCCTGCATTTGAACAACGTCAGCACTGGCTGCATCCTGCTTGGCGGCCTTTTCATCTACGATGTGTTCTGGGTAAGCAGGCGTGGCTGCGGGCATTGGAGGGGAAGGGGCTGCGTCACACACACACCCCCGTTACGTGGGTTTTCTGGCCATGGGGCCAGTGTGATGTCATGCTGATTTTGGGACAGGAAAACCGTGATTGCTGTCCAGTGTACGCGTTCACGTCTGCCCGGAAGCAGGGGGAAGGGAGGGGAAATGACAGGGTGTTTGGCCAAAACTTGGCCCAGCAAATACTCTTGCAAATGTATTCACTTAATTCCAGAGGGTGGCTCCCAGAGCATGCAGCTCTCCAGTGAGAAATCTGCTGTGTTGCATAAAGGAGCTGGCACCACCCTGCTGTCTGTTTGCTCTAGTGTATCTGGTTTTCTCAGCTGATTATCATGCTGTGCCTACAAGTAGAATCCAGCCAAACTTCCTAGCTCTGTACAAAGGACTCATCCTTGCTTCTTGATTTCATGTGTCTCTTTAGTGTTAAAAGTGATTCCCAATTTGGGATCTAAGCTGATGATTTCACAGTAAGGAAAAGATAAATAATGTAGTGAACGTGCTACAGGTACCTCTTGTGACCTTGGTACGAAGTTTTGCTGGAATAGTAAAGATTTTCCCTAAATCTTGTGGTTGTTTCAAGGCACAGTCTGCTGGAAAGTCCCTTTGGATACTGTTCTCTCTTCGGCCCTCGCTAGAGCTTTCTGACCTCACTTCTTGGTCTTAATAAACATACACTCCATAACTGCACCATTGTGTCATGCTCCTGTCTCTCTGAGTGCCAACTCTTGAGTCCCACTAGCCAGGAATTCGTTGGCCTCTGATGTGTAGCTTTACTGTTGGCTTAAACTAAACTAGGTGCCATGAAATTAGTGGGAATTGATGAGTCCTGACAAACACATTCCCAGCCAATCAAACAAAATGTGCCAGGATTTCAAATGGACACGTTCCTCCAGATAATACGCTAAAAATAGATGCCCTCAGAGCAAAATACAGTTCAGGAGCAATTGTTACACTTCCTATTGAAATCAGTTCTCTTTGAAGCTTCCAACTACGCATTGTCTGCTAATTGAGGCCACGTGAGCAGTTCGTACTTTTACAGAAACGTGTTCATGTGAATTTAGGCCAGTGGCAGGCATGCTCAATTTGGTCGACTTAATGCATCTTCTGCACATACACATCATACATCATCTGGAAGCTTCTGAGGGCTGCTTTAGCATGAGGCATGCTCTGGAGCTGTCAAGTGGTGCTGTTACCATAGAAACAGGGATAAACGATGACGCCATCCCTCATTCAAGTGACCGCTTTGAAATACTTGCGTTTGCTTCTGTTCATTTAATGTGTGTCTGTTATTTCAAGGTATAAAGTTGGGTTTCTTTATGACCTCAAAGCATCATAACAACGATCTAAAGGATAAAACAAAGTCTAGTGATAAACTTGTATAGGTATCACTGAAATGGACTTGCTCTGGTGACACTTCTAGTCAACACCATCCTCCTGATCTCTGAGTGTGGGGGCTAATGCTGTCTTCGTTGCCTGGGCATGCACCGGGAAGGTTGTTCTGGTGACACAGTTGACTATGCAGTGACACCTACTGGTACATGCACAAATAAGGTCTTGTCGAATCTGCCAACGGGCCCTTGAAGAACCCTGGAGGTAATTCATCATCCACTTCTTTCCATCCCTGTTGGAATGGTGATCCCGTGTCTAGTTTACCTGTGTGGGGGGGCATCCAAATCTTGTCAGTTGAGATGCTCTTCAAAGCTGTCCTCGCATGGTGGAGTTTGGCTGGTGGCTTATCCTCTTTGATGGCTAGTTGGAGGCGTAAGCAGATCAGAGCTGTGGGTTACCTTTTCTCTCCCACTCCGGTCACGCAGCACAGTGACCAACTTCCGTGCCTACAGAAATTGTGGCTTGCCTGTCCTCCCTCCTAGAAGCAGTAAGCTGCTTTTGTTTTGACATGGATGTTTTTTTCCCAATACCAAACGCATGAAGCAGTCACATCCTCAAAGTGCACGTGCAGCGTGAGGTGTGTTGCACAAGCCAGGAGTGAGTGGGCCATAAGCACGCACAGGTGTGAAGTGGTGCATGTCCGTTGTGTTGGTAACAGTGCCCATGTTATCTCTGCATTCTGGTTTTGGAAAGTAGAGAGCAGCAAGGACCAAAATGTCAGTATCCAGTGACCCGATTACTGCAGCTCCTTTGGCTTTTCGGTCTCCTGCTGGCATGCTGGCGCACACAGCAGCAGGTGGATCCTTGTCTTCAACGCCTCTACTGGTGCTGCTCTTTGCTACTGCGCCGCTGGAAAGGTCTCCAACCAGGAGGGGTGTGTTTGCTGAGTGTTTTCTTCGCACTCGGGTGTGTTTTGAACCATATAATCGGAGGGGTTTTACAAGTGACCACTTTCAGGATGCTGCAATTAGAAACTTCTTCCAGGGAGGTGCAGGGCATTCACCAGTCACCTGCTTTTCCTGCCTCCATCCTTAGATCCTGTCCGGCGCTGTCTTTCTGCAGTTTTCATAGAGTTACAGTAGTTGCATCTGTCAAAGACTTGGATTTCAGAATTAGCTTTGTCAGCTCCTTTTTGGACCTGCCTCAAATACTCAGCAGCCGGTTCATCATCTGTGTGGAATTTGTCTCCAGTCGTCCCTTCCATGACAGCCCTGGCCTCTTTGAGGTACGCTGTGATTTCTGTGTTGCATGCTCTTAGCTTATTGATTCTTCCCGCTTGAGTTTCCCATTGATGTCCGAATTCAGCTTTGTCTGTTCTTCTCATTGTTTTATCAGTGTGGAGGAGGGACAAATGCACAGATCCTGTGGGGTGACTAAGAACCATTGCCACTGAAATATCATCTGCCTCTTGGTAAGAACAGGGCTCTGCAGACAACAGTTTCTGGATGGATAGCTGTTGTAAGCATCCCTCCCTTGACGGACTTGCATTTGGTTGTCTTGGCCATGTTCGCAGATGGTTTGGTGCCAGATTTCTTCTCTGGGCTGAAGAAGCTGCAAGTCTCGTTAGAATCAAGTGCAGTCTGGCAGCTGTGTTTTTAAGCACCTTGAGAGATGATACAGGGTCAAGTGGGTTTGTCGTGTGGTTGGTGAAAGCCGGAATGTGCTCTTCCTCTCCCTTCAGTGCAGAGGCAAGGACTTGTTTGTGGACTTGGTCTTCACTACTTCTTGTTAGGCCACTTATTTCTCCCAAAGCTTTTGTATGTTCGTAATAGGAAGCTTTGCATTGTCATCTCTGACCCAAACACTGGCCTCTGCAAAGCTACTTTCTGGAAGATTTCAGAGGCTCGTATTAAAGGCATAGATTGTTACGAATTGATGCCTTCTGTCAGGCAGACTAGGGAATGGATTGTATTTACAAGAGGAGAAGCATTACGTTAGGAATTCACGTATATTTATATCTACCCACCGTGCAGGACAAGCTAGAGACATGGAGTCTGCTGGTGCACAACCTTCAGTGTGAAACTGATCTGTCAGCCAGTTGCAGTTAAAAATACAGGACAACTATTCTAATCATTTGTGGGATATTTTGACAATTAAGAATGTCACATGAAAACATTTCATGTGAATGTATTGCAAAATGTCGCTCTGCACCAATAAGCATCTTTTAAGAAGTTGTTTGGTAGTGTGGACTAGTAAACACCACAACAAGGTGCTGAAATGCATTTCAACCATAAAAGCTCCAGTTATAGTCCTGTTAGTGTTTCTTGAATTATACAAAAATGACTCTCATTGTTTCCCCTTGACTACATGTATATGGCAACACTTGACAGTTCCACATTAGGAATGTAAAATCCCATGTCATTGGTTAGCTGGTTAATCAGTTAACCAATTAAAGGCGGGACAGGGGCTGCTCCGGCCAGGCTGGAGTGTCCCCCCCACCCACGGTGCACCCCATGGCGCTGGAGCAGCCCCCTGCCTGCGGGGGGGTGGGGGGGTGCTGCTCCAGCCCCCACTGGTTAACCATTACCAGTAAACCTCACCCATTAAGGGTAAGCTTACCAGTTAACCAGTCAAGTCCGTATTCCACATCGTGCCTCCTCCAAACACACCTAACATAATCCTTCCAATGAGACATGATATGGGGCTTTGCTGGGCAGGTACATTGAATTCCTGAAACAGGGCCCGTTTGGGAGAATTGCTGCATGCCTGTTACTCTGGCTTCAGGCTGGACTCACCTGAATTCGAGTGGAAAATGAATACTGTGATCCTCTGAATGATGGGAGTGCCGTCTCTGCTCTGGCCAGGGCGGTGGTAGCTGGCTTCTCTCTTTAGTTGAGCCTCTGTTTTCACTGTGGACTATTTGCTCGTAGGTTTTTGGCACCAATGTGATGGTGACTGTTGCCAAATCATTTGAGGCACCGATAAAACGTGAGTAGATCTTTCCTGCTTCCTGAACGGGCCTGTCCTGTCTCCTGCCTATCACCCTTGCTGCATGGGCTCGGTGCGCCACCTGACTAGTGTTACATTGCATTGTGGGTGCCACTGGGCATTCATGGATTTTTTTTTGTTTTGTTTTGTTATCCTGCGTTCTCTGGCTTTGAGTTAGGATCCTACTCCTGGTTGCATTCTGCCCGCAAGGGCCTCAGATCCTCTCGCTGCCATTTGCTCTAGATTTGTAGAAGGTCTCTTCCTGCCTGTCCTGTTGCAGGCATCCTATGAAGTACAATAGATCTGCTAGGCAAGGCAGCATTGGACGTGGGTGTTCAGATCTCTGATGATGGGGCAGGAACATCTGCAGAGACCTGCTCCAGCCCAGAGAAGGGGGGAAAAGCTCCTGAAGCTATGGAGTCTGCAGCATTTGGGGGAGGGGGATAGTAGCCACTTTCCAGTTTAGGGTTCCTGGGGATTTGCTTGTAAAGCTGGAATAGAATCCCTCTCAGCCTCGGACTTGGCCTAGTGACGCTGCAGTAGGGATGGAAGCGATCAGTCGAGTCACTACTCAACTACTTGCTTTCCCTGCCCCCTTGCTGCCTCTGTATTAGTGTTGAGCGGAGCTGGCTTAAAAGTCAGTTCCCTGCAGCACCATCTCCTGTGCGAGGAGAGGGGGGGCACAGGAGGCAGAGGTGCAGCGGGGGACCCGGGGCGAGCCAGGACTGCCCCCAGTAGCTAACCCCCTTATCGACTAATCAAGTAGTCGATGGAAATTCCATCAACTACTCGATTCGTTTATTAACCGCTACTTAGCATCCCCACTCTCCAGAGGCCGATGGACTCTCCCAGCTAATACCTTTAGAAAGTAAAGGAAACACCGTTGAACAGCAGAACGGCCAGACCAATGGTCCCTCTAGCCCGGTGTCCTGTCTTGCAGTACCAGGGAGAGTGACAGTGCATTTTAGAGAGTGATTTCTCCTATTGTCCAGTCCCAGCTTTTTGCAGTCAGAGATTTAGGGAAACTCAAAGCTTTGATTGCATTCCTTACCGTCTTGTCTAATAGCTGTTGATGGATCTGTCATCCATGAATGTATCAAATTCCTTTTTGGACCCAGGAATACGTTTGGCCTTTACAGTATGCCCTGGCAAGGAGTTCCACACATTAACTTTATGTTGTGTGAAGCAGTGCCGCCTGATGCTTGTTTTAAATCCACTGCCTATTAATTTCACTGGGTGACCATCGGTTCTTGTGGATATCTAACACTTCCTTATTAGTTTCTCCACTCCATTCATGATTTGACAGACCTCTATCCTATCCCCCCTTAATCGTCTCTTTCCTAGGCAGTACCGCCCCTGTATCTTTAATCTCTCCCCATATGGAAGCTGTTCCATACCCCTCATCGTTTTTGTTGCCCCTTCTCTGTATTTTTTTTTCTAATTCTAATATCTTTTTTGAGGTGATCAGAACTGCATGTAGTACTAAAGGTGTGGACCTACCGTGGACTTGTAGTGTATCCCTTTCCTAATAGCTCCTAACGTTCAGTTTGCTTTTTTGACTGCTGCTGCATATTGAACGGATGTTTTCAAAGAACCATCCACAATGACTCCCAAGACCTCTGTGTGGATATAGCTAATTTAGACCCCATCGCTTTGTATGTATAGTGGGGATGTTTTCCAGTGTGCATTTATCGACATTAAATTTCATCTGCCATTTTGTTTTCCAGTCACCCAGTTTTGTGACAGCCCTTTGTAAGTCTTATTCTGCCTTGAACTTTACTATCTTAAGTAGTTTTTGTATTGTTTGCAAACTTTGCCATCCCCCTGTTTACCCCTTTTTCCAGACTTACAAATATGTTGCAGCACTGGTCCCAGTACAGATCCTTGGGGGACCCTGCTATTTACCCCCTCAGCTGTGAAAAATGTCCTATGCTTTGTTTCCTGTCTGACCAGCTACCGATCCATGAGAGAACCTTCCCTCTTATGCCATGACAGCTTCTTTTGCTTAAGAGCCATTGGTGAGGGACTTTGGGAAAAGTTTCCGAAAGGTCCAGGTATACTGGATCTGTTTTAATTCATCAGTTTGTTCCCAAACCACCTCCACTGGGAACGGTTCCTCAGATTTGTCGCCTAAAAAGAATGGCTCCCGTGTTGGACTCGTCCTCTCACCTTTCGCAGTGAAGACCAATGCAAAGAATTTAAGTAGCTTCTTGGCAAAGGCCTTGTCTTCCTTGGCTGCTCCTTTAGTACCTTGGTGGCCCACTGGCCGTCTGAAGGCCTGGCAGGCTTTGGGCCTCTGATGTACTTAAAAATGCGGTTAGCATCTCTCTTGCTACTTGCTTTTCAGATTCCCATCTGGCCTGTCGAATGATACTTGACTTGCCAGAGTTTACACTCTTCTGCTTTCCTCGGTAGAACTGGATTCCAGTTTTTAAAGGATGTCTTTTTCTTGCTGTTTAGCCAGAGTAGCATTTTGGACTCTTGCTGGTTTGGTTTTTATGTAGGGTTACGTATGAACTTTGAGCCTCTATTGTGGTGTCTTCAGAAGAAGGTCCCTGCAGCTTCCAGGTATTTCACTCTTGTGTCTCTTCTTAATTTCTATTTAACTTGCCTCATTTATGTGTAGTTCCCCTTTTTGAAATGAAATGCTACACTGGGGGGGTTTCTTTGGTATTCTTCGCCCCTACAAGGACGTTATGGCTGCTGTTACTGAGAGGTTCTGGTGTGTTCACCTCTTGGGCCAGATCTTCTGCGCTACTTAGGACTAAATCAAGAATTCTCTCCCCATGTGAGTTCCAGGAGGAGCTGCTCCATTAATGGTGTCTAGAAATGTTCTCTGCATCCCGTCCTGAGGTGACATGTACCCAGACAATGGGGGGTAGCTGAAATCCCCTGTTTTGGGGGGTTTGTTTTTGTGGCCTCTCGAATCTTTTAGTCAAACCAATCCGGGTCAGGTGACCAGTACTGTGTTCCTACTACTGTGCTCGTTATAGTCAAGCAGGGAATTTCTGTGTCTAGAGTCTGGGGGACTGTTGGATTCATGTCCCACATAGCAAAAGACCCATACGCCACCGTTTCTTTGCCTTCCTTGAGCTAAACACCCTACCCCACCCTGCATTCCTCTTGCATCTCAGGCCTGGGTCCCTCTGCACTGTTCGCCCCCTGCGGCCTGAATGGATACAGACTGCTTGTGATGCTCCAACAGCTGCCTTCTTCCGTGGCCCACCCTACCGTGTGTAATGTAGGGTAGAGAGATGGGACAGGTGTCATTCACAAGCTGAGCTGTCGGCTCCTCTTTGCAGACCGCAGCTCCTGCAAGCCACCCTGTGGGACTCTCTCTCCAGCTGGGGACCCGGCGCA